GCTCTTCAAGCAACTGAAAATTTATCTTGTAAGGCCAAGAGCAAGAACCTCGTACTAGCCTGTATAAACGACATGATCGCTGCACAGAGAAAAAGAGTTTCCAAAACCCTTTGTATGGATACCATCACACATAAATGTAATCCATCAAAATGACACACAGACATTACAGCCAGTTTAACGTGTAACAACAGAGTTGAATTAGACTTAGGTATCTTTATCTCTGTTGTAAAGACTATATTGTTCCAAACACTCAGGTCCGATTGGAGAGAAAAAAACGACTCCCAACGACCAGAAAGCACCAGTATAAAAAGCTATGATTTGTACAGATCCGAATCCTTTTGTACAGATCCGAATCCTATATTTATGGGCAGCACAAAACGTCCACCAGACTGTGCGACACAGTGTCAGGATCAGATTGGCAGGTGGCTACAGTTACCTGTGGCAGATGGATACAGTTACCTGTGGCAGGTGGCTACAGTTACCTGTGGCAGGTGGCTACAGTTACCTGTGGCAGGTGGCTACAGTTACCTGTGGCAGGTGGCTACAGTTACCTGTGGCAGGTGGCTACAGTTACCTGTGGCAGGTGGCTACAGTTACCTGTGGCAAGTGGCTACAGGTGACGTATTTACCAATCCTGCGCACTCCAGGTGCAAACTCTGAGCAGGAACTGGGTCATATTCTCCCACTACATCCTTCAATGACCAGTTATTTGACAATTCAGACCGGCCGACATGAGGTGCCTGGAGCTTTGCAATTACTTTAACTCTCGTGTTCATGAGGATATCCTCATAATGCACCCAGAGTTTGCCAGTGCAGACTACTTATCACATGGCCCTGTATGACTAACCATCCCGTGTGATGGGGACTTTTAGCATCAGCTACTTTTTTGACACACACTGTACTCCCCTGCATATAGTCTATGGCAGCTAGTTCTTGACACACACTGTACTCCCCTTCACATAGTCCAGGGCAGCTGCACAAATGATGTTGTACCTAAATGTTTTAATAACAAAAAAAAATGTATGGACATTGAATTAACGTCGACAGCTATACTTGAGCGGCGATTCTCCGCCGATAACGGCGATTCACCGCCGATAACGACAATTCACCGCCGATAACGACGATTCACCGCCGATAACAAGGATTCACCGCCGATAACAAGGATTCACCGCCGATAACAAGTATTCTCCGCCGATAACGGCGATTCACCGCCGATAACGGCGATTCACCGCCGATAACAAGGATTCACCGCCGAAAACAACGATTCACCGCCGATAACAACGATTCACCGCCGATAACAAGGATTCACCGCCGTTAACAAGGATTCACCGCCGATAAGGATTACTAAATGCTATTTGAGTATCAATTACTCAATGGGATAGAGAATGGATAAGGGAGAGGATGAGAGAATGGGAGAGAAACTGATGGAAGAGGAGGGAGGTAGAGGGAAGCCGGATGGCTCATGAGACACAACAACCCATCAACTGGTTCATGGAAACTCTCCCCATATCAAACGGAACATGTACATCACACCGGAGCCAGGAACCTGCTCCAACCTTCACACTCCTCCTCAACGGCAATTATTTTATTCTTTGTGTATTTCATTACTTATGAGCCAGCGAAAAGACAGATACAGACAGAAACACAGACATAAGCAGATAGGGAAACCGGAGACAGATAGAGAAACAGACAGGCAGACAGAGAGACCAGGTCAACCTCGGCAAAGAAAGACAGAAAGTCAGATCGGCAAAAGCAGAGACAGGAAGACAGGCAGGTAGAGATAAAGAGATAGTGACAGAAAGACAAATACACAAGACAGATAAAACAGAGAGACAGATTTCTACGAGGATATCCCACCTCGTGTGTGTGTGTGTGTGTGTGTGTGTGTGTGTGTGTGTGTGTGTGTGTGTGTGTGTGTGTGTGTGTGTGTGTGTATATATATATATATATATATATATATATATATATTATTAAATATGACCGAAAAAGTAAGATTAATAATTCTAACACGAATTTTCTCAATCTTTCGTACATTACGCTTCACTGTTGGAGGTAAATCAAAAATCAATTCTCCAAAATTCATTTTTATTTCTAGTCTGACGCGACACGGGCGCGTTTCGTAAAACTTATTACATTTTCAAAGACTTTAGTTCACAAATACACAACTGAATAGAACTTACGTATCTCCGATTTTATATCTACATTTGAGTGAGGTGAAAGGGGTGATGTGGCATTAACACAAGACAGAACAAAATGTGGTATTAATAGGGTATTAATTTCATCAACACAAGACAGAACAAGAGTATTAATTTCATCAACACAAGACAGAACACGAAACAATGGATATTGAATAGAAGTGTTTGTAGAAAGCCTATTGGTCCATATTTCTTGATGCTTCTATATTGGAGCGGAGTCTTGAGGTGGGTAGAATATAGTTGTGCAATAATTGGCTGTTGATTGCTGGTGTTGACTTCTTGATGTGTAGTGCCTCGCAAACGTCAAGCCGCCTGCTATCGCTATCGACGTTTGCGAGGCACTACACATCAAGAAGTCAACACCAGCAATCAACAGCCAATTATTGCACAACTATATTCTACCCACCTCAAGACTCCGCTCCAATATAGAAGCATCAAGAAATATGGACCAATAGGCTTTCTACAAACACTTCTATTCAATATCCATTGTTTCGTGTTCTGTCTTGTGTTGATGAAATTAATACCCTATTAATACTCTTGTTCTGTCTTGTGTTGATGAAATTAATACCCTATTAATACCACATTTTGTTCTGTCTTGTGTTAATGCCACATCACCCCTTCCACCTCACTCAAATGTAGATATAAAATCGGAGATACGTAAGTTCTATTCAGTTGTGTATTTGTGAACTAAAGTCTTTGAAAATGTAATAAGTTTTACGAAACGCGCCCGTGTCGCGTCAGACTAGAAATAAAAATGAATTTTGGAGAATTGATTTTTGATTTACCTCCAACAGTGAAGCGTAATGTACGAAAGATTGAGAAAATTCGTGTTAGAATTATTAATCTTACTTTTTCGGTCATATTTAATAATATATGTCTACAGGAAAGACTGCTACCAAAATATACTAATATATATATATATATTATATATATATATATATTGTCCGTCTGTATGTGTTCGAGGATGGACGCCAGACGCTGGCGTTATCCTATGTTTCCCAGAAATTGCTGACGGGTACGTGTCCAACATGGACGGGTTGGCTGATGTAGATTTGACTAAAGGTAAACTCTGTCAGCAGAACTATTTGCATACTTAGCGCTATTATATAATAGAATGTGAAAAAAATCGCGGAATTCAGAGATGTCACCATCAATGGAGTCCAAGAAATGTGTAGGTCCTTCAATTTTAATGATGTACTGCCAGTAATCTTAGCGAAGTTAAGTTAAAATTATTATATTAAATGTATATAATTTATCTTTATATATATGATAAAACTTTGTAACTTTGAGGGCACTCACTCCTACCATTTAGGCATAATCTTGTGTTGGTAGGCTTAGTATATATGCTGGTGCTTAGTGGCTCCTGTTTAGTACATCCATAAATGTCACTGTTATTTTCACTATCATGGGTGATACGGAGTTCTGACTCTCTCTCTAGATGGCTTAAGATCACTTAGTTCATCTGGGTCTTTCACTATAACGAATATGTCATCGACATAACGGCAGAATACAGTTGATTTCTGCCTACCATCGAAGACTCTTTCCTCGAGGGCTCCCATGTAAAAATTTACAAATAGCACTCGTAGGAGGGAGTCCATTGCTACTCCGTCTATCTGTAGATATATGTTACCTTGTGGATTGATGAACGGAGCTTCCTTTGTACATGCCTCGAGAAGGCTCTTCAAGTGTGGCTCGGGTGTGTCTTACTTGGGGGTGCTCTCGTCTATGAGTACTCTGTCCAGGATCATTTCTATGGTGGTGTCGACAGGGAAATGATCCGCGACAGAATATACAGAGACGAGAGCACCCCCAAATTAGCTTACAAACATAGAATTATGCCTAAACGGTAGAGTAGTGTCAACACAGGTGTTGGTGAACATTGGATACAGTAATAAAGAGATGAACACTACTATAAGACGACAACTGGACCGGTGGTACAATCCTGGACCAAAAACACAAACCGCAACACCTCGAATAAAATTATATTACAAATCAACCGTACATAGTGAACGTAAAAAAGAAGAAAGAATAATGAAACAAATAATCCGGAAAGGAGTAAAAATCACATTTCACTCCTAACCAGAACATAAACCTAATCATATTCTATAAAACAAAGAAGACTAACGACCACCTTATTCAAAACAGGCCGAAGCCGACGGAGAACCCTTAACAGGAGTCAAGCGTTGTACACATGTACACTTGCCCCCACCAAGGATGTAACCTTCAAAGTACATAGGTATGACGTCGACCAAGCTGACGAGGCGTCTGACCTGTCACCTTCGATCAGGTGCCCCCAGAAAACACGAGACAAACCCATGGCATCACCTAACAATAAAAATGCTGAATAAAAATACTTACATGAAAGACCAAACTAAGGATGTAAGAAGATTACAAATTTTTGAGCCCCTTCACATAAAAGTCGAACAACCTACATTACCCAAATGACAGAACTATTCACTCTACCCACCATGAGAGTAACAACAAGACCAGAACGTGACGATGCCCTCATAGACGACACTGCTCAAAACCAATACACATCATATATATATATATATATATATATATATATATATATATATATATATATATATATATATATATATATATATATATATATTACATAATGTTTGAAGAACCTAGCCTAAGGACATGAAAGCTTCATTCGACAATACTCATTATTAAAATCAGGGAACACTTTCTAACAGCTGGTCACGTGGGACTGATCTACAGTCTCTTTATCTTTACAAAACTCATAAATGTTATTATAAATGTTATAAAAATGATAAATGTTAATATTTTGCTTACTTTTGGCGTGTGCTGTGTACGCTGCGAGTATGATGGCCAGGAGTGGCCCCACGGACCAGCCTGTGTGGGCCATGGACCATCTTCTGTATTCAGGCGTCGTCAACACCATTCTCTCAACACTATGCAAACTGGCTTTTATATTATTTGATTTTCCTCTGATTACTGGTTTCCCACTAGATGATTTTAGTACTTATCCATTTTTATAGATGTGATAAACATAATTCCCAGTAGCGGTGTTTTTCTATCAATACAATGAACCGTGGAGCGAGAAATTGGTGTTTGGTTAAAAGCGGTTCACAATCACATACACAAGACACTGAGTTGAGGTGTTTAGGGTAGCGAGGAGCCCCTGGCCTTGGGGAGGCAAGAGGGACCTGGATGAGTTAGCAGGGTTGACTAGGCTCCGCGGTGGGGTAACTCCGCTCAATGGCGCTATTACCTCCCCCCACACCGCTCCGGAAAGAGGCTTACTTCTATTGACAAACTCCGTTTATTCCCCGAGAGACGTGTTCCATAGCCGGTCACCCGAGATCTACTTAAGGCTCAACTGCACGGCTCCTTGGCTTCCCGAGTCGATCAGTGCTTTCGTTAGCACAGATTTGGCAGTCAAGCGTTTCTACCTTTCTGAAGTACTAGCCAACTCGACGCTGCCGCTAACTCCTGGTGCGGGTCCTCTAGCGTTTTCCTGGTTCCTTGAGCAGCCTTAGTGATTGATGGTCGCCAGAGGAAAATGTCTCACAAAGGAAGGGGGGGCGAGAATCTTAATAGTGGCCCCTGACGGCGGCTGCTGGCGGCGCTACCATAGAAAACGTGCAGGAGATAAGAGGCAGCGATCCACCGGTCGGCTCTCACGGCGCTCACTCTGCAAAGAAGAGGAAATGATTCGTGGTCACCTGTCTCTGAGACCTGGGAAGCAATTCACTAGTAACAGACTTTAGGAAATAATTTTGAGATGGTGTGTCAGGGTTTGAGACAACCAGCGGCACACCACATCTTGTCCCGCCGAGCCCAGAGCCAAATATTTCATGTATATTTAATATTATAATTTATACTAATTATTCATGTGTAAATATATTTGTATAGCTATTACAAAAATTACTCAACTTAATTATGAGAAGACAGCGGTATACCAACATTGTTGGTTGAATAAACCAAATTATTGACTTGACGCCTAACAGGCATTTAATTCGAAATTATTCATATATATTAATATTGTATTGCCTAATTGATTTACTTAGACCTAGTTTTACCCATGTTAAGTTGGAGGAGAGGAATAGTAGGCATATTCAGGTAGAGCCGCTCAGTAAGGTGTTTTGGGTTTAAATTGTAAAAACTAAGTTTTACTCTTTTAGTTTCATATAAGTAGTAGTAATAGGCATCCATCAGTCTCGGGAGACTATGGAGTTGCTCTCTGGTTGTCGCTCTGACACAACCATTATGTTGTTGACCAGACCACACACTAGAAGGTGAAGGGACGACCACGTTCCGGTCCGTCCTGGACCATTCTCAAGTCGATTGTGAGAATTCACAATTCTCAATCATTCAAAATCGACTTGAGAATGGTCCAGGACGGACCGTAACGTGGTCGTCCCTTCACCTTCTAGTATGTGGTCTGGTCAAAATACTTTAGCCCCGTTATTGTGACTCATCGCCTTCAACCATTATGTTAATGGCTCTCCTATTTATTATGAATCTTAATTTATAATAAACAGGAGAACCATTGACACAAACATCTTGTTAATATTAGTCTGTTTTTAATTAACATTCACGGCGTTTCTAATGCTTCTCGTACTGATCATCAGATCTAAATCACAAAAGTTACATTAAAACAGGCAGCAAACCAAAGGGCTCCGCGGTGCAACATAAAAACACCAATTACAAAACAAAACGCTGAGGTCAACTTACGTGAAAGTGAACAAAGTAACCTTTGATATATATACTAAACGGATACTCAAAACTTATTCAAAATTATAATAATTACTACAAACTTAGAGAAAACTTATATAAAAATCAACAATTTACAACACTTATAGATTACCAGTTAGATACGTTGTAAGAAATATAAATATTTGCACAAAACTGATCACCAAAAGTTATAGTATATTTCCTAATTAAACAAATACAACAGTACAAAAGTCAACACCCGAAATGACTATCAAAGACACAAATCATGGGAGACTAAAGCAAATAATAAAGAAGTCGACATGGACTATTATTGAAAACAAAAGGCCCACTGTCAGTTATACAGTGTACAATTGTGCAGGTGGTACACTGTATGATTATAATACACAGTGTGTGTGTGTGTGTGTGTGTGTGTGTGTGTGTGTGTGTGTGTGTGTGTGTGTGTGTGTGTGTGGAAATCACGAAGAAAATAACAGGTATCTGTGATGTCTAACATCCTGTGTGGACGACACAGGATGTATGGTGGACGACACAGGATGTATGGTGGTCGACACAGGATGTATGGTGGACGACACAGGATGTATGGTGGACGACACAGGATGTATGGTGGACGACACAGGATGTATGGTGGTCGACACAGGATGTATGGTGGACGACACAGGATGTATGGTGGTCGACACAGGATGTTTGGTGGACGACACAGGATGTATGGTGGACGACACAGGATGTATGGTGGTCGACACAGGATGTATGGTGGTCGACACAGGATGTTTGGTGGACGACACAGGATGTATGGTGGACGACACAGGATGTATGGTGGTCGACACAGGATGTTTGGTGGACGACACAGGATGTATGGTGGACGACACAGGATGTATGGTGGTCGACACAGGATGTATGGTGGACGACACAGGATGTATGGTGGTCGACACAGGATGTATGGTGGTCGACACAGGATGTATGGTGGTCGACACAGGATGTATGGTGGTCGACACAGGATGTATGGTGGTCGACACAGGATGTATGGTGGTCGACCGGGGGTGTAGGGCGGGTCGCGTCATGAAATAATTGTAAATTCAATTATTGTTATATAGCAGTTGCATTCAAATAACTATTTAATTAACATGTGCAACTTTTTAATTGAAGTAATTACCGCGGCGTTGGTCAGTCCGTATGTTGTGGAGTGTTGACTTGATCTATATATTGTCTTATTGTTTCTTATGTACAGGACCTGTGTGTGTCTGCTGGCGCCCCTGTACACCACCTGTGTCTGCTGGCGCCCCTGTACACCACCTGTGTGTGTCTGCTGGCGCCCCTGTACACCACCTGTGTCTGCTGGCGCCCCTGTACACCACCTGTGTGTGTCTGCTGGCGCCCCTGTACACGACCTGTATGTGTCTGCTGGCGCCCCTGTACACCACCTGTGTGTGTCTGCTGGCGCCCCTGTACACGACCTGTATGTGTCTGCTGGCGCCCCTGTACACGACCTGTGTGTGTCTGCTGGCGCCCCTGTACACGACCTGTATGTGTCTGCTGGCGCCCCTGTACACGACCTGTGTGTGTCTGCTGGCGCCCCTGTACACGACCTGTATGTGTCTGCTGGCGCCCCTGTACACGACCTGTGTGTGTCTGCTGGCGCCCCTGTACACGACCTGTGTGTGTCTGCTGGCGCCCCTGTACACCACCTGTGTGTGTCTGCTGGCGCCCCTGTACACGACCTGTGTGTGTCTGCTGGCGCCCCTGTACACGACCTGTATGTGTCTGCTGGCGCCCCTGTACACCACCTGTGTCTGCTGGCGCCCCTGTACACCACCTGTGTGTGTCTGCTGGCGCCCCTGTACACGACCTGTGTGTGTCTGCTGACGCCCCTGTACACGACCCACGCTTATATATATATATATATATATATATATATATATATATATACAAGAACTGAGAGAGGATAAGCTGATACTTGGCCAACTCTCACACACCAATTCGTTCTCAAATCTGTGAGTTGCAACTTGAAGCAGAGATGTTGCATCATTGCAGAAATTCTTCGAGAGAAAAGCATGATTCTTGAGCCATGAGATGCGTGTGTGTGGGGGGGGGGTGATGGGGTGTTGTGGTGGGGGGGGCGACCATCTGCCCGGCCATCACAGCCCTCGCCACAATAGGAGGGTCCAGGTGACCCTCGCGTGGTTGTCTGCTGTACGGGTCTCTGCTGGTAATTACCTCCATCACAAACCCCAGCTGGGCGGCCTCTACCACCTTCCCGCCCTCAGCCTTCTTATACTCCGCCCCCATCACACTTTTCTCACCTTAAACAACACTCCAGCCACAGTTATTCTTGATACTGTAGTGTAAAGTGATCAATGTAAAGTGTGCGGGGCGGAGCTTGCTCTCTCTCTCACCCTCCCTCCCGCCGCCCCCCACTGCATTATCATCTACACCCTCACACACAACTACACCTCAGACACACCCACACAACTACACCTCAGACACACCCACACAACTACACCTCAGATACACCCACACAACTACACCTCAGACACACCCACACAACTACACCTCAGACACACCCACACAACTACACCTCAGACACACCCACACAACTACACCTCAGACACACCCACACTACACCTCAGACACACCCACACAACTACACCTCAGACACACCCACACAACTACACCTCAGACACACCCACACAACTACACCTCAGATACACCCACACAACTACACCTCAGACACACCCACACAACTACACCTCAGACACACCCACACAACTACACCTCAGACACACCCACACAACTACACCTCAGACACACCCACACTACACCTCAGACACACCCACACAACTACACCTCAGACACACCCACACAACTACACCTCAGACACACCCACACAACTACACCTCAGACACATCCACACACAACTACACCTCAGACACACCCACACAACTACACCTCAGACACACACACACAACTACACCTCAGACACACCCACACAACTACACCTCAGACACTCAGACACACCCACACAACTACACCTCAGACACACCACACACAACTACACCTCAGACACACCCACACAACTACACCTCAGACACACCCACACAACTACACCTCAGACACACCCACACAACTACACCTCAGACACACCTCAGACACACCTCCACACACAACTACACCTCAGACACACCCACACAACTACACCTCAGACACACCCACACAACTACACCTCAGACACACCCACACAACTACACCTCAGACACACCCACACAACTACACCTCAGACACACCCACACAACTAAACCTCAGACACACCCACACAACTACACCTCAGACACACCTCAGACACACAACTACACCTCAGACACACCTCAGACACACCCACACAACTACACCTCAGACACACCCACACAACTACACCTCAGACACACCCACACAACTACACCTCAGACACACCTCAGACACACACACAACTACACCTCAGACACACCCACACAACTACACCTCAGACACACCCACACACAACTACACCTCAGACACACCCACACAACTACACCTCAGACACACCCACACAACTACACCTCAGACACACCCACACAACTACACCTCAGACACACCCACACAACTACACCTCAGACACACACACACAACTACACCTCAGACACACCTCCCACACACAACTACACCTCAGACACACCCACACAACTACACCTCAGACACACCCACACACAACTACACCTCAGACACACCCACACAACTACACCTCAGACACACCACACACAACTACACCTCAGACACACCCACACAACTACACCTCAGACACCTCAGACCACACACAACTACACCTCAGACACACCCACACAACTACACCTCAGACACACCACACACAACTACACCTCAGACACACCCACACACAACTACACCTCAGACACACCCACACAACTACACCTCAGACACACCCACACACAA